TAGCAGCATGGTCTTGTTAGCAATGTGATCCTATTAGCAGCATGGTCCTGTTAGCTTTGTGGCCCTGATAGCAAATGGTCCTATTAGCAGCATGGTCCTGTTAGCAATGTGATCCTGTTAGCAATGTGGTCCTATTAGTAGCATGGTCCTGTTAGCAATGTGACCCTGTTAGCAATGTGGTCCTGTTAGCGATGTGGTCCCATTAGCATCATGGTCCTGTTAGCAATGTGGCCATGTTAGCAATGTGGTCCTATTAGCAGCATGGTCCTGTTAGCAATGTGGTCCTGTTAGCAGCATGATCCTGTTAGCAATGTGGCCCTGTTAGTAGCACGGTCCTGTTAGCAATGTGGTCCTATTAGCAGTGTGGTCCTGTTAACAATGTGGCCGTGTTAGCAGCATGATGATAGTAACAACCGCAGCAATGGATGATGACTGCACTCCAGAACTAATTCCGGCAGACAGAACATTCAAAAGTTCCCCATGGAACCGAACTGTTCCGTAGAGTTCGGTCCATGCAGTCAGATAGAGGATTATGAAGCCGGCCACCATGTCAGGCTGGAGCCTGAGCCCCAGGTGAGGAAGGGTCTGGAGAGTGGGGTTCTGGTGGAACGAACCGAGCTGCAGCTGGACCGTGTAGGTCTCAGTGAATTCCCGGTGGACTGGAGCGGCTCAGAGAGCGGTGGATTGTATTGAACCATCTTGCCAGACCTGTGCACCGTGCCACTCTCCGCTGCCCGTCTGATGAGGAAAGTGTCTTCTTGACATGATCCTCACAGTCAAAAGAAACTGGTTCTTTCATTCCAAGAGCTCATTTCTGATTCAGGTTTTGTTTATGGTTTCAAGTCTAGATCTCTAATATTAGCAAATGAACCAGCCCCACATTTCTTCTGTATTTATTTTCTTTACAAGAACTTGTGAGGAAATAAACCTCATTGTGCTCCTGAAAACATTTTTAGCCATTCTGTTTTTTACTCCTACTCTAGCTGAATGTTCTGGATGCACTTTGACGGCACTGCTCGCTGCATCAGCCTCAGTTCTTCATCATAGAGTCAAAAATAAACACTGTTGACCTATAAATGCTACTTTTTTCCATTTAGGTATTATTCTTGATTTTAAATTTTATTTTGACTTGATTTTTCTTTTTGTTTTACTTTTGTGAGTAACAGCTGAGGGTGGTCAGCTCTTGGTCTAAAGTGAAACTTGTCTGTGAAACAAATGGTTTATTTATTATAAGCACTAAAAGTTTGTGAAAGCAGAGAGAAAACTACATTTGTGGAGCTTTAATTTTGACATCTCACACCAGATGTGGATGAACATGTGTAAGCGACATTCAGGAATGGTCAGCTCGTGAGAGTCGTTCTCTTCCACTGTCACCAGTGTGCTGCTCAGGATGGGAGACTGCGATGAAGTGAAGGTTCGACTCAGTCTGCTTCCTCAGATAGACAACTTTTACTAATTATATGAGTTTTTGTACAGGGTCCTGACATGACAGTACTTATGCACTGGCTTTGTATAAATAAACTGAACTGAGCTGCCATGCAGTTACACAGAATATTTCAGGCACAACACTCCAATATTTGACTCCAGCAGTTTTACACTTCTAGTTTTACCTTTGTTCCCTTCCTGCCCACGCTTTACACATATTTACTGACATTTTGAACAAAATGCAGAGTTTTACTATGTGGCAAATGTCACAAACTCTGGCAGGCGGTGGGTTGGAAGGGTGCATGCATGGGTGGTGTGGACTGACTGGCACAAGTGGATGTATCCTGCCATGGTGGTTCAGTTCCCAGCCCCCTTCTAGCCTCGGGCTCAGGCTCTGGCCTGTTATGGCGGCCGGTTCTATGATCCTCCATCCAGCCTGCACAGACTGAACTCTATGGAACAGTTTGGTTCCGTGGGGAAACGTTAGATGTTCTCTGTCTGCTGGACCCGGTTCTGGAGGGCAGCTTCTGCAGTCCTTATTATCATCATGCTGCTAACAGAACCTCCTTGCTAACCGAGCCACACAGCTAACAGTACCATGGTACTAACAGGACCGTGTTGCTAAGAGAACCTCACTGCCAACAGAACCACTCTGCTAATAGGACCGTGCTGCAGAATTTCTTTTTCACTTTTGGTGCCTTGTTTTGAATTTTTGTTGCATGCTTTGTTATTTCTTGTTGTTTCTTGGCGAATCAAGATGGTTGTTCTTGTCCGGAGCAGTTCATTGCGTTCTTGACCTTGTGTTCATTTGCATATGGCAAATAAACCAAACCTTATGTTCATCTCAACTGGCTAAGATCAGTGATTGGCTGCTCAATCCACACTCCAAACTTCAGTCTTTGAACACGTTGCAGACAAATGGATGCTACCTGCAGCATCTCAGCTCTGCTGTTAGGAACTTTTTACTGTATAGAAACAGCATAAAGTTGTCTGGTGGGTGTCTATGAAAACAAATCAGAGGAAGAACATACGGATAAGTTAAATGTTAGAAGGAAATGTTTTCTGCAAAAGAATGACTTCTGCTGTTTGTAAAAACCGTGACTCTAAAAGCATCTTAGCCCTACATCCTGTAACCTGATCATAATTCTTTCTCTGGTACATGAAGTTTAATGAAAGGACAAGAGAAATCAGCCAGCTTCTTTTGGAGCTGAGCTCTCCTGATACAGTAACTGAAACGATGGCACAAAAAGCTGCTGAGACCTCAAGGCCTCAAACAGGTATTAGGACTTTTCCTCATCATGGTGCAGTTCTGCGATGTGCTGGGGATTACATGAACCAAGGTAGACCTGCGTCCAGGGGCTTGAACCCAGATGAAAACTGCTTGCAGTTTTTTAGTTGCATGTTGATCATCAATGGTGTTTCTGTGTGCTAGGGTCCATCTCTTCCTGTGACGCCTTCCTCAACGTCTTTCAGACCAAAGGGCTGAAAACCGAGGTCATCTGTCCCTGTGCCAGCTCTCCGGAGGCCCTGACTGTCGCCATCAGGAGGTAAACACTCTCAGAACTGCTTTGCAATGCAGACATCTTGCAAGCATGAGCAGGCACATGTAAGCACAGATATGCAGGCTGGAAACATGTTTAGGAGGTTTTTTTTATATATATATCAACGGTTTGTCCACAATGAATCTGCTGCAGCCAGTTAGTCAACAGCCAGCACATGCACATTTATACCAGTATACAGGTCCACCGGAGCTGCTGTGTATCATTGCTGTTTGTGTTGTTCATGGATTATCTGCAGGCCGGTGGAGGACAGCAGCCAGCCTCCGGGTCGTGGTGTTCTGTCTATGCAAGGTCTGAGCTACGGGGTTGTCCGAGTGGACACCGAGGAACGTCTGTCTGTGCTCACTGTGCAGGACGTGGGTACTATCACACCAGGAGGTAAATCTTTGTGTGTCACATGATGAACGTCTGTATCTAGCTGTTTTCATGGCTCTACTGTCAACGTTGTTGTTTGCAAGTTCAGAACTGTGATATGTTGATGTTGTTAAAAGTTTCTGTGTTTAAGGAAAAAGAATGATGTGGGAGTGAAACAGTATCATTCTAAAAGTATGGGATGATATACTTCTATCATCGCTGAATGTATTTTCTGTTCTAACATGAATGTGCTCCAGTACACAAAGCAACAACTATAAATACAGTTTAAGATATACAGTAGGTATGGAAGTACCTGGCCGGCCTGACTCACTGAGCACCTTTAAGAAGACTGTGAGCCAGACCTTCTCAACCATCGTCTGACCTAATAAATGCTCTACAGAATGAATGGGCAGAGATTTCCACAGAAACTACAATCCTGTGGAAAACCTTCCAAGAAGAGTGGAAGTTGTTACAGCTTCACAAAGGGGAACAACTCCATCTTCTCCATATTGATGTGGTTGTCAGGTGTGCTCAAATCCTGTTGTCTAGCCAGTGTCCATACATGTACAAAGACTGCATGTATACGAAACTGGTGCTTCAGGTGTATTACTACTGGCACTTCATATAAAGTCCCACAATGAAACTAAATCGACACTTAGATGTTGAAAATGGTCAGAATCAAGAATCCTGAGGAAAAGATTATTCTGTAACTAAAACTTGATGTGCAGCTGTCAGATTTCCTGCTGTGTGTACTCAAACAGTAAAAACCTTCTTCGTGGCTGGCAGTTGGATCACATCATGATTAAAAACTCTCTGGGACTACTTCTTCAGACGTTCAGCTTTTAACCCAGTTATTTGTAACCTGGTTTGTGTTGGACCCAGACGTAAGCAGATGGACTTACTAGGATTAGAACCAACTATTTTAAGCTTAAAGGATGTGAAGAAACACACCGAGCGGTCCACTTTTATACCCCTGGGTGTTCAGAGTGAACAATGTTCTGCTAGGAGGTTCCTATATTTCTGCTCTTTGCTTTATTTAAATAAGTTGTTCACACAGGTATGAACAAAAACGTGCATACATATTTCTCCAGTGCTGACTTCCATTCATGGGCTCCCAGTTTGTTGTGGAATTGATATAAAAATTTTATTCATGAACAATAAGTCCCTAAATGGACAGGACCCTGTGGGCCCCCAACAGCCCTCCAAGATCCCTTAGATCTAATGAGCATTTGCTTTGAGTTGTCCTGAGGTCCAGCCTGATCCACAGAGGTGATCAGGTCTTTA